TTTATATTTGGATGTGACTACTTTGTCAAGCACAACCACTACACCACATGAAAAGTCCCTGACCGCAGCTCTGAAACACTATCGCTAATGTGTGAGAGGTTACACAGGAACAGAGAGAGCGCACCATCTCACTTCTTGTTTGTGAAACCCTTTATCTTAACTGTGGGACTCAATGTGACACATGGCTGGGTGGCCCCATTCATTTCCATTTATATGAATGTGAACGTTAATGTGTAAAGTTACAGTACCTTCTTCTGTGTATTTATCGTAAATAGAAGTACTCGGCCACATCACTGCGCAGCATCACCACAGAAGTGCTAAAAGTACTGAATGCTACAGAGGATCTGATTCACGGATCTGTGGTCGATGGACAAGGCCAGTCAGACCACAGTGACCTCTCGGTAATTCCCCCTGCCGAGGCCAGTAGACTGAATGAGCAGCTCAGCGGACTCGAGGAGAATGTACGGATTCTTTCAGAGATTAACATTTCTCATGCCACTGGGCATTTATGAGCTACTTCTCAATTTATTCAGATTCATTTCACTGTGTGCAGGTGTATGTGGCGGCAGGTACAGTGTACGGGCTTGAGGCTGAACTGGGGGATCTGGAGGAGTGTGCGCGCAGCATCAGTGGATCCACCACTGAAAGTGAGCTGTCTCATCTGGAGGACCAGGTGGCTTCTGCAGCAGCCCAGGTGCAGCAGTCTGAGCTCAAGGTGTGTTTGGCCTGGATGCTGTGCTCTCTCTCTCGCTTTCTGAATCTCAGCAGCAGCATCTCATAGCTCTGAATATGCAGTTACACTTGAATTAATGAGTAATATAACAAATGTTATTGTTTACTTAAACTATTTAAATTGTTTTAGTTAATTGAAATAAAGATAAATTAAAATGTAAATATAAATATTAGATGAAAAACTTACAGAAATGTTGCCTTGGAAACTAAGTGAAATTAAAAACAAAAATGAAATAATGAATTATGGGGGTAGAATTGTTGCATTATTCAAAATAAATAGATTATGATCCACAAATAAATGTAAAGCGATTAACAAAAAACAAATATTCACAAAATAAATATCCATATCCATCTCATCCAAACTGCTTCTCTGAAAAACTGGAAAACGCTGTTATGTTGGCTGTTGTGTGACGGCAATGTAACCTATTACATAAACTCGCATGTTTATCATGAGGTTGAACACAGTAATTTATTAGTCAGTTACTTGTTGACACTTTTCTTTCCATCTTGAATGACGCTTCGCTTCCATAACGCATTTGTATCCAGTACAGCATTGTTCCCATAGCTGTGATTTAAAGCGCTGTTTCTCTGGCATTTTCAAAGGCATGTAAAATATACTGTGGCTTGGCTTGATACACAGTCTAATGATTTAACGAAATACAATTGTAAACATCTTTAACTGTATACATTTTTATGGCCCTTATATTTCCTATTTGAGCCAATGCATATTATGAATAAAGTTATTTCAGGAAGAGACTGCCCTGATTGTAAAGTAAAACGTGATTGGTTATAGCGAGAACGTGCTACGATTGGTCAGCGAAGTGTGGCTGTTATCTGATTGGCTTGAGTAGACGGTGGGTGGAGTCCACGCATTTGTAGATTGTCAGCGTCTTGATGCTAGAAAGGTTTTAAAATCCACAAATGCACAGTGAGCGATCCACAAATGCGTGCAGCGATCTACAAATGTACAGGATGCGATTCAAAAATGAATGGCAGGCAAAGTTGTGTCTGTGACATAAAAATGTATTTGTGAATGTTTTTTATTTGCAAATCTCATTTTATTTATTTCTGAATTTAATTAGTTTGTGAAACCCTGAGATTTATTTGTTGATCTCATTCTATTTATTTGTCAATATGTTAAATTTTTTGTAAATCTCTTTACATTTATTTGTGGATCGTAATCTATTTATTTGGAATAATGCAACAATTCTACACCCATACTTTCTGCCTGGGTGTGAGATGTTGAAAAGCTCTGACATGATATTCAAATTAAAAAGAAAAGTTTGTTTTTTGAAAAGTGTCTCACTGAAAGTTTATAAACTCTTTTAATCGCATAAACAAGCAATATGACCCTCTGGGGCTCTTTGTCTACAGTGATTAAGAGCATCCGCCTTTATGCAGCAGCATGTGCTTTGACGAATTAATTAACACGCTTTGCAGGGTTTTAATCAGACTTTTTGTTTCCAACAGGGCGACAAGCGTGAGATGTTCAACACGGTCAGAGACATGATCTACGACTTGATCGAATGGCGCTCCCAGATCCTGTCCGGCACGCTCCCGCAGGACGAGCTGTCCGAGCTCAAACAGAAAGTCACCTCTAAGATGGACTACGGGAACAAGTATGAACACATACACACATAAGCTGCTGACTCGTGCTGATCGGGTCGTGAGCTGGAAGTCACGACTGCAGTCCGTTTCATAGAATCTGACTTTTAATGAGAGCGTTTTATTGCTCTTCATTTTTATTCAGGGTCTGTTTTTGCTATGAAGGGTCATTGTGAAAGACTTGCAGCACTTCAGATTTCAGCACTTTATCCGCTTTCATTTGGGGAAGAAAAGAAAATATGTTATTAATCAGCAGTGTGTGCTGTTATTTGGAGTTAAAAGTTTAATTCCTTAACCCTAAGTATTAAAAATAATGCTGACTCACAGCCTGTACGTACGTTTTCATATTTAAAGGATATGCCACTGACGATTCAAACGCGAGTTTTGAGCAGTTTAGAGTAGCGTTTGTAGTTTGTCATTTCTCCGATCACAAATGCAGACACACATAAGCTGCTGACTCGTGCTGATCGGGTCGTGAGCTGGAAGTCACGACTGCAGTCCGTTTCATAGAATCTGACTTTTAATGAGAGCGTTTTATTGCTCTTCATTTTTATTCAGGGTCTGTTTTTGCTATGAAGGGTCATTGTGAAAGACTTGCAGCACTTCAGATTTCAGCACTTTATCCGCTTTCATTTGGGGAAGAAAAGAAAAGATGTTATTAATCAGCAGTGTGTGCTGTTATTTGGAGTTAAAAGTTTAATTCCTTAACCCTAAGTATTAAATGGTGACGCTATTAGATGATTCTCATCTGGCAAACAATAAAACAAATAGACTTGCATTGAACGACCAGTAAGTATACCAGAACACTCTAGTAACCGCATAGCAACACCCTGGCAACCATCCACAACACCTGGTGGTGTGTTTTTGAATGTGCACTGCAGGCATTTTCAGAAAATCTTCAGGAAACTCACAAAAAACAAACCTAATTTAAATGGATAGTTCACCCAAAAATGAAAATTTGCTGTTAATTTACCCTCAGTCCATCCAAGATGTAGGTGACTTTTTTTCTTGAGTAGAACAGTAAAGAAGATTTTTAGCTGAAACTGTGGTGCTTGGTGATTCATAAAATGCAAGTCAGTGGCTTCCAGCACTTTGAGAGTCATAAAAATACATATCAAGCAACACAAAATGAATACCCATGGCTCCTGATGATATGTTGAGGTCTTATGAAGTGCAACAATCGGTCTGTGAAAGAAACTGAACATTATTATTACCTGTAATCAGTCTCAGGCAATAAAGTTAGTTCAGCAAAAAAGTCTTTGTTAAAGTGTTATAAGCCATGAACCAAACCAACCAGCTACAAGGTCATTCACAACATTACAGTGTTTTATTTGAAGCAAAAAGTATTTTAAAATCAGCCAAAAAGACAAAGGTACAAGACTATGTACTTAAGTTTAAGTGAGGGAAAGAACTACAATCCCATGAAGCATTACAAATAAAGTAATTGAATTAAAAATAGAGAAAAATAATTATATCAATAGAATTATATCTTGTATCTATAGAAACATATTTTTAAGCTTATTGCTAAATATGCATAAATGTACAAATATTTAAATATTTTGTCTTTACCTGATTTGCTTGCTGCATCTCTCTGATTGGTGGGATTTCATGTACAGCATATTCATGATAGCGCACACAGTGGGCATGTGTAATGTCATTTTTCACAAAATTCAGTTATATGCAGATTAAATAAGTCCTAAGGAAGCTTTTGACTTGTTTCCCGAGGCCACAAGAGGGCGCAATGAGCAAAATAATGCAGCGCATTAATTGTCAATTCAAATAACTGTCTATAAAAACGTGCATAACGTCTAAATTAACATATATAAATCAAATATAGTTTTGTAAACTGCATAAACAATTATGAACAAAACCGCATCATGTGTTTATGCATTGCTTAGCCAAATAAAAAGAGCCAAATCGCCAATCACACAGATTGCATTTAAAAACATATGAGACGCAGTGAAATGAAATAAACCTTCACAAATTCGCGTCGCGTTTTCTAAATGTTAAAACTGTTTTAACTTTGCATGACTTTCTTTGCATCTCTTGCATGAGACGCGAGTGCAGCAGTCATATTTGTCC